TATATATATATATGTATATATATGTATATATATATATGTATATATATGTATATATATATATGTATATATATGTATATATATATGTATATATATATGTATGTATATATATATATATATATGTATGTATATATATGTATATATATATGTATATATATATATATATATATATATATATATATATATATATATATATATATATATGTATATATACATATATGTATATATATATATATATATATGTATATATATGTATATATAGGTTCTCAGTAAATGTCTCAGACAATAGCTACCAGAGGAGGAGATGCTGGAAAAACCATCATAGGAGGACAAACCCCCACAAGGGATGTACCACCAACAGATAACTGAAGTGGCTGATATCAAGAAATCCTACCAATGGCTAGAAGGAGCTGGTCTGAAGGACAGCACAGAGGCACTCATCATGGCTGCACAGGAACAGGCCCTGAACACCAGAGCAACAGAGGCCAAGATCTACCACACCAGACAAGACCCAAGCTGTAGGCTAGGCGAAGAGGCCCCTGAGACAATCCACCACATACCTGCAGGGTGGAAGATGCTGGCAGGGAAAGCGTACATGGAACGCCATGACCAAGTGGCTGGCATCGTGTACAGGAACTTCTGCAGAGTATGGACTGGAAGCCCCAAGGTCAAAGTGGGTAACACCCCTAAGGTGGTAGAGAACTAGAGAGCAAAGCTCCTGTGGGACTTCCAGATTCAGACTGACAACATGGTGATGGTGAACCAACTATTGTGGTGGTGGATAAAACAACAGAAGACAGCCGTTGTGGTTGATGTGGCGATACCAGGCGATGCAACATCAGGAGAGAGGAACACGAGAGAAGTACCAGGGCCTCAAGGAAGAACTTGAGAAAGCCTGGAGAGTGAAGACACTGATGGTGACCGTGGTCATCGGGGTACTCGTGGCAGTAACCCCCAAACTGGAGGAGTGGCTAAAGCAGATCCCAGGAACAACATCAGACATCTCTGTCCAGACAAGTGCAGATCTAGGATCAGCTGAGATACTGCAGAACCCTCAAGCTCCCAGGCCTCTGGTTGTTTCCTCTCTCTTCTAACATCCACCTCTCTTTAAGTGTGATGCTGAGGAAGATGAATGTTTCAAAAACACAACAGGGAGATTTATTATCCATCTTCGATTTCATGCTGTAGAGTCGGACGCAGGAGTTAACACACACTTGACGACCCGTCTGGGACTGTGGCAAGTTGAGCAACAGTCTCATCAATTTCACTCGTGTCTCGTTCGCTTTGATGACGGAGGGAGCATGAATTATTAAAACCGTGTGCTGAAGACACTGAAGTGGGACATCCTGTTGAGGAGGAAAAACGGTTTATCGGTTCAGACTTTCCGTTCTTCTAGATGAAAGCTCAGTGTGTGAAAGACGTTTTGGGTTTTATTGTTTTGCTTTTGATGACTCAATTATCAACCATGTTTCTGTACTTTTTTAGTAAATTCAGGACATTCAGCTGATGAAGAATAAGTAAAACAAGAAATAAAATAAAAATACAAGAAAGTTTGAAAGACAAAAGACCAAAAACCACAAAATGAGTTTTCTTCTCTATCTTGTGTTGTCACCAAGGAGATTTCTCACAAAGGAGATCTCATTCCCGACTGTCTCCAGGTGCTTTGGAAGTGGGGCAGCGGAGCACACAGACGGATGCCCTGAGACAGAGCAGGAAGTATCAAACTCCAGCACACTCCACACAAACCATCTGACACCAGCCTCTGGACCTCGGGGGGGTTTCCACAGAGCATCTGGAGCCGCCGCCGCCGCCTCGGCTCCGCTGCTCCTTAATGAGGCGCAGAGATGATTATTAGTTGATGCTTTAGAGGGGAAGCCAGAGGTGGAGGGGGTGGGGACGCGATTTTTACTGTACAAAATAACTGTTTGCTAAAAGAAGACCTGCAGTGGTTTAGATGTGAGAAAACTTCATAAAGGAATCAGTCTGGAGTAAAAATCCCAAGAAAATTAAGAAAGAAGACGAAATCTCGAGGGTTCTGTCCCAGATTTCAGTGTTTTGCTATCAAAAACACCGTTTCCTTTGCTTTCCAGAACATCTTAGCTTCAAAATCAGATAAAAAACGCATTCCTAATTAAAATTATCGGAAACTTGATGAAGCAGGTGTGAAATAACGCTGAGCACCACTGATGATTAGAGCTCGCATTAGGCAGCGTGCAGCATCAGGAGTTTTGTGGAGTGGCTGAGACGATTGTTCTGCCCTGGAGAGGCGGCAGGATCGCACACCTGCCTGGGCCTCCTCTGGATGTGACAGGATGGAGATGATTACGATGAGATGAAGATGATGTTCAGATAGATGTAGCAGCGGTCTGAGTTGTGCTGCATATTCAGATGAGAGAATTGATCATATAGAGGCCTTTATGTGCAGATGTTCTTAACTTCAGCCTCAAAAATAGAGAAGAACAAGGTTGTATTAAATTATTTGGTGTAGAAAACTTTCTCTGCATGTTTATTTTTTGAAAATGAAAAAAACAAACATTCTATAAACCAAGGATCCTCCTTAAAGGGCATAAAATGACTTTTTTCTTACGTTGTAATAATTCTGTGGTCGATGCAAAGCATGTTTTTGAAGTTCTTTGCACTAAATCCCTCTCACATAAAGCGATTTCAGCTGGTTGATTCTTGATGTTTTCAGTATCCTCCAGAATGAGCCATTTCATGGCTGAGTAACCAACCTGGAGCTGGCCATGCCCACCTATCCCCGGACTGACTGCTATAAGCTGAGAGGCTCCGATATGTGGGAGGGGCTCAGAGTAGCATGTGAGAGGTGGTTCCAGTCCAGTTTCCCAGTTTGTGATGTCACAAATGAGGGTTTTTTTCAAACAACTTGTTTTAGGTACATAACTCCAGAAAACCAGTGGATGGTGTTTATCTCGTTTGGGGGTTTATAGCGACAGCAAGACCCTCGTGTCAGCGAAAACGATGTAAAAGGTGAGATTTGCATAATGTTTGCTCTTTAAACAAAGATAATCTACCTGAACCTTTACCTGATGTGACGAAGCTTTCATAGCTGTCTGAACGTTGCATTTCAAGCCTACAGATCCTGAACATGAACCTGTGAATAGCTGGTGTGTTGCTGCGAGTGCTTTAGTGGTGCTGCACACACTAATTAGACACTCTCGTCTTCATAGCGTGTGTTTGAGGAAGCAGAGGGGTCTAATTAAAAAATCATTAATGCGTCTCCAAACACAAGAAATGATGCCATTCGAGAGGATTTTTAATCATTATCAGTGAAGTTTGGGGACAAAATTCTTATTTAAATGAAGGCGTTTTCTTTTTTAAGCTAAAGGACGTGTCGTGTGCTTAAACGAGTTTGAAACATAAAGAAGGGAATCGCTTCCACGTTGGTGCCTTTCTAATGAGGAAAAGACTTTCATTTGTAAGTTAATGGAAATAAAATTTAAATGTCAAGCCAAGGGGAAAAATCACTGGAAACAGGATAATTAGCTCTGCGTTTCTTTCCTTTTTATTGTTCTCACCACTTTTGTACATTTATTTAAAACTGAACAGAAACTTTTAATTGCAACAGCGGACACGCATGCACCCGTGTGTTTGCATGAATGCAGCGCATCCCTTACAAAGCAGAATGTGGAGTTAAGGGTCAGCATGTTGACCCCGCTTGAAAAGCACATAATTATTCAGTCCATCCTCCCACTTTAAGCCCCATTCTGCATGTGAGCAGATAATAGACGCCACCCAGGCTGCCGGGCACGAGTTAATGGAACGATGGAGACTCAAAAGGCAGGGTCGTGGTGAAGGAGAGGGATTCCTCTTCCAGGGAAAAGTTTGTTTTAGAAGAAAAAGGACACGGATTTAGCAGATTTAACGTAGGAACAGGACATTGTTACAATTGTTGGATTCATGCTGTTGATGTGTGTGAAATTAGACAAGAAAGTTCATTCCAACATCATTTTCCACCATGATTTTTTAATTTTAACGACATTTTTGGTACATTGTTGACAAAATGTGAAGCACCACCACTGGTAACATGCATAAAAACAAGAAGTCAGATAAACTAGTGGATGGACGATGCCTTCGGACGCTCCACTTTTCTTTTGTTACCTTCTTCACGCGACTTCCCAGACATCATCCCTCATTTGCAGAGCGAAGGACTCGTCCTCCGTTGCCCTTCCAGCCGTAATGACTCGGGTTCCCCCATGCTAATGGCTTGCCTGAGTCCCGGCCCCTGCTGGGACCACCAGCCTACTTCTTTTGGTCACAGCAGCCGGGCCTCGGGGCAAACAGGACGCCGGACCACAGAAATGGAAGAGGGAGTTTAAAAAAGACAGAAATGGGTAAAGAAGGTTCCGGTTTGATGCATGTAGGGTCCACCCTGAAACAGATCGGCATCCCCAGGCTGAAAAAGACCTGTGGATAGAAGAGGGTGTGTGTGTGTGTGTGTGTGTGTGCGTGCGTGCGTGCGTGCGTGTGTGTGTGTGTGTGCGTGCGTGCGTGCGTGCATGCGTGCGTGCGTGCGTGCGTGTGTGTGTGTGTGCCAGCTGCAGATTTAAACAATAACATCTCACTGTTTGACCTTACTAACAAACCAGTGTGTGTGTGTGTGTGTGTGTGTGTGTGTGTGTGTGTGTGTGTGTGTGTGTGTGTGTGTGTGTGTGTGTGTGTGTGTGTGTGTGTGTGTGTGTGTGTGTGTGTGTGTGTGTGTGTGTGTGTGTGTGTGTGTGTGAAGAGGCTGGGGTGATGATGAGCAAACACTACAGGAGGAAATAATCTCTCATTACCCACAATTCCCTGGTGCTGAGCAGCGCTGGCGAGCGCCTCTAGATTTGTCCCACGGGCAAAACGAAGTGGAGTCACTCAGTCGATTTATGAGAGCGTCCCAAACTCCCCTGCCCTCTGCCCCCCCGCTGCTACCTCCCCGTCTCACTGTCCTCCGCCTCGTCCCTGGCTCTCAGACACCTGCTGGCAGCCATATGTCCTCGCTCCACTCTTCCACTTTGTTAGGAAATCCAACAAAAGTTCTCATTAATAATTCATGTTGAAAGTTTCCTGATGATAGAACTTAATGATCCTAATGATCTGGGATCTTACGGTACAGAAGCTGCCTCACTCACAGAAAACTTCATTTTCAATGAAACTCTTTCTTCGTATAAGATAACTCCATCTTCTTCTCCACACAAGCATCTTTTTATTTTCTGCGTCTCGTTGGGCAGCAACGACGAACCCTCCATCCATCTGCGCCAGAGGAGCTGCTGAAGTCCCACACCTCCCATCACAGCCCCCAAATCTCTCTGTGCTTGCAAACAAACATATTTCAGCCCGCAATTACTTGTCAGTTATGAAGGTAAGAATACAGAATGTATTCATGGTTGTATCTCATTATGATCCAGAATTTATGGTTTGCTTATAGAATATCTGGCTGAGGCGGAGGCATGTGGGGAATGTGGTGAAAGTCTATTGTAAAGATAAATCATAAAAACATACAGTCAATTCTGTAGCTTTGGTGAATTATAGAAGTCGTGTGTCATAAAACAGAAAAATCAGTGATTCAGGGTCGCCTGCTGCTGGAATGTGGAAAGTGTTTACACTGCAACAACTGATTCTCAAGAAAAGAATAAAAGAGGCTTGTTTTGTACATTTTATATTATTTTTACTCTAAAATTAATCTTATTTGTAATGGATAAAAGGTGAGAAAGTTTTAAATGTGATTACGTTTTCTTTTTTTGAGTGATAAAAACTCGGCCAGCAGGAAAGCAAAATGATACCTCAGCTGAAATGATAAAAGACTCGTTTTTCAGTACATTTGCAGTAAAAATAAATTAAGATCTTGTGAATCAATCTGGGGAAGAAAGCTGTGGTGCTCCGGTTTCAGGAAGTACAGGGAGCCTAAGTCTCCTCCCTTTCCGGTCGGCTCACGGGTCCCCGGAAGAACGAAAAAAAATGAATGCAAGCCAACGAGGCTAAAAGAGCTCTTTTCTAATCCGCTTAGCCTTACGCCCTGGATCACACACATGTTGTACTGCAATTTAAATGAAAAGTAATGATGTTGTTTCGACCACGGCAGTCACGTACTTTGAGATTTATCAGCTTGTAAAAGTTCGTACTTGGCATGATTACAAACTAGAAATCGGCACGTCGCATATGTGACATCACCACATAATCCCCTCTCCCCTAGCCTAGCTGCTACTCACCACATGACCAGATTTATGGTGTTTTTTCCTCCTGTGGGAAGGATTTGAAGTTTGATGAACTTACAGCTCTTTTTCCCTTTGTGTTGTAATCCTGAATTTATTTTCACACAAAACCTAAAATAGCGCCCCCACCCCCCACCCCGTTCAAAAATAAGCAAGTTCTTGGTATCAGAAAGCTTCTTTAAAATTCACAGACATCATATGTGAGATCCATGGCACATAACAAGCGGAATTAGAAAATAGCGTTTTTCGCCCCGCTGACTCGCGTTCATTTTTTTGATCTTTTGGGGATCCGTGGTCCGGAATTAGATGGGCGCGACTTAGGCTCCCTATGGCGGCTAATGCAGGAAACCGGGATAGAAGAGTATTTTCACATTCAGCCTGCATGTGAAACTCAGATTGACCAATTATAAATAAATATAACAAGTTCTCAGTAAATTTGTCTTTAAGATTTTTAGCAAATCAACTTTTGCTTACCCCATCGGTGTTTATTTTTTTAAAACTCAAAACGAGAAACTGTTATCACATTTCAGAATTTTTATAGTGCTGTTTTAGCAGAAAAGAAAGATTGTTTTAGACTAAAATAAGATAAAGTGTCTAAAAACGCAGCTATTTAACCTTCTTGAAAATCAGTTTTTACAGTGTAGTAGAACCACTGCTAGGACACCTTTAAATGTCCAGAAATGTGTTTGTAAAAAGAAGTAAAAGGGCTGTTATTGGACTGCAACAACTGCAAAGTCATCAAGTGAAGAGATTCGTACGACTTGTTTGATGATACCTCAACGCCTGGTGTGCTTTATGGCTCCAGCTCCCCCTGATTGTGCAGAGATCTCATTTCACACATGATCGTTTCTCTCCCTGAGCGAGGTGGGCACGCCGGCGCTCCGTGGTTAGTGCTTTAACACCATGCGTCTGTTAGCTTGGGGCTAGATCACAGGGTGAAAGGGGGAGAACAGGATGGAAGAAAGAGGAGAAAGTAAAAGACAAATCAGCACAAAAGCAGCTGGGAAAATAAATAAAAAGGAGAAACATTTTATATGTTTCTTTGCCTTTAAATTTCTTAATTTTCCTGTTAGTGCTCGCCATAAGAAAAATCCCAGCAAAAAGATGCAATCATAAAATAAAAGGGAGGAGCCTCAATATTACTGATCAGATATTTAATGTGTTTAATTAAATGGTAAAAAAATGAAGCACCTAATGTCATTTACTTGGTGTTGCTTTGCAGCAACCAAATGAGAGACGGGCTTAGTGCCAGCAGCCCCTCTGGGTGCTTGGAGCTACATTTATCACCACCGGCGCCCTCTGATGATGAGGCTGTTTAGTGGGGGTCCCCACAGTCCTCCTTTGATTAGCGCTAAACATCTTTGCCTAATAACCTTAACAAGAACAACGCCTGCAGGAGGACGTGCTGGAGCACAAAGAGGCAACCGTGCACTCTACTCACCTCCGCGGAGATAACTAAAAGTGCTAAGGGCTACCCATCCTCCTCAAAGTCACCTCTTTCTCCTACGTCCCGGCTTGTATCAGGATGGGATCTCATCCACGTTACATCTTCTCTTCTTCCTCCTACCTGCACTCCAATTCAGACAAACAAAATTGAGTTGGTTATGGTTCAAGAGTCTCACAAAGTTCCCTTTCAGCAACAATATAAAGCAAGATAATAAGAATATGTGAATGTAAACTGGAGTAGATGGACAAGTACTCTATGGGGATATTAAGGCAAGAAATGGAGCTGGGAATGATTCTGCCTGGGGGATATACAAAAGAAATCCATTTCACTGTTCTGTGTCTGCCTAAATACAGATTTTAAATCATTTACTCACATGGAAAAACTTCATAAATTAATTCTGTGGGTTGTTGGATTAATATTTTTTTCTATTTTGGTAGTAGTCTTCAAAATGATATAATTCACATACTCAACAATACATTTTCTACAACTTTAGTTTTATTTTTTTAACAAAATGACGCTTCTTTGTTATCAATTAAAAGCCTCCTTTTTCTGTGCTGCCTTCAAGAACTACTTGAAAAATGTAATTTTTTGACTGTTGTTACATTAAAAAGGGTAAAACGCAAGTTTCCAAAAAATAAAATGAAAGCCAAATCTTGTTTAGGATAGTTAAAACTTGCTTTTCATTATAGACATTGATTATGTTTTTTTCTGTTTTAGTTTAATTATGTTTTTGTCTTTAAATGATGGATGATGCGCACAGTAGAGCTGTCGATCGTTTCCCTTTTGGGTTCATCTTTACATTATAAAATGATCATCTGAGCATAAATGCTGGATGCGAGAGTGTGTCCACCTGACCTTTTGTTTTTCTTTTCTTTTAAAAACAAACGCTCTGTGTTGAGTTGTAAAGGGCGACATTCTCATTTCACCGAGTGTCCCTGAAAGCAGCACAGCTGTGACGTAGCCCGGAACCGTTGAACCAGTCAGCTGCGGGAGGAACTCCGACAACACAACAGAAAGTCAACCAGGAAACAGACAGCTGCAGCCGACCCACCGTCCGGTCTGACGCCCCAACGACGCTGTTCGTCACGGGAGTCATTAAATGCTTTATTATCACAGGAGTTTTATTTTGTATTAAAGTAGGAAAAGAGCAGCGGAATGGCGAATTTATTCAAGAAGAAAACAGTCGATGGTAAGTTTGCTGTGTCCAACAAAACCAAAAAAACTAGCTAACTTGTTATTAGCTCGGGTGCTAGCCTGCTGTCACGTTCCCATCTAAAGTTAGCTTCGGTACGAAACTTGTTTAACTTGTTTTCGATCCTGTCGAGTCACCCGGCACGTTACTGACTAGGAGGAAGCGATAAAACCCGTCAAACTCGCGGTGTCTTAGGCGGGTTGACGATGTAGCTGGATTACAATGTCCCCCTTATCGTTACTAATAATTACGGTTTCGTTAGCACCCGATGTGTTGATTATATTGGCCCTGTGTGTTGGGATAAGTCTAGAGAAAAGGGCGTGTGTGTGTGTCCACTGCTATGTTAAACAGGGAAACTACAGTGCGAGTTTAGTTTAAAAAGGTAAAAGTAGCAAAATTACTTTCCTCATTCAATAATTTAGCTAGATTACTTTAGATTTTTAAACAGAAATAGATTGTAAAGCATATCTCCTAACTGGTATTAAAATAAGTCACTGAAAATGTAATAAAGGTGTAATTTAAAGGGAAGGTTGTTAGGGACAACATTTCCCATCATTCATTGCTGCTTTTTCAGCTGATTTGACTAAAAGTCACTTTAAAAACTCCTGAAAATCCTGCCTGTATAAATATTTGAGTGTTATTTTCCTCCAGGCAGCTCAGTGAGTCTGACAGGGTCAAGATGGAAAATTCTGACACCGTTTTTCTGAAAATGAATGAATCAATTATTCTGCTTCAGAAGAGGCTCTCAGGAGTGGTTTAGAATAAAAACACATTAGTCTCCTGCAATGGCTCTCAAACTTATTTCATGTGAAGAATTGCTTTAAATCAGAGTAGCAGGTGTGGAAATGGGCTCGGCTGGCGTCGCATTCTCCTCCCATCCCTGTGGTTCCAGCCGCACCCGCACCGATCATCAGCTACTCACTGTGCACCAGGACCGCCGCTCCATCTGCAGCTGTAGGAGCATCTTCAACTGGAGCTTCTGTCTCGTCCTCTCAGTCCACCAGACTCTGAACTCGGGGTCATTTTGTTCCTCCAGGTCACATGGCTGGAGAGGTTTCTGGATAGTTTGCAGATTTGGTAATGGGTGGAGGGGTTAGATCGCACGTATTTGTAGGACGATATCCCTCCCACTTGGAGACGTTGGCGGCACGTCACCTTTCACGTGTTTGTTCTTCGCTCCTGTAAGAGGTCCGCTTGGCTGACGTGTCTCTGTCAAGTTTTCAGGAGCTTTTAACTTCTTTTTCTGGTGTTTGAGCTTTATTTTAAATATAATATTGTGTTTGAAGAAGCAGTTTATTATCCATTTTCTAAAGTTATGTTTCAGCATGACTCATGAAATCTCACATTTATTCTGTTTACAACGATGGGTCTATTTTATTCATTTTTCCACAGATTTGTTTTAAACATTTCATTTAAACTTCAGCCCAAAGACAACATATTCTGGTTTAGAGATTTAAAAACACTTCGGAGGAACAAAAACTATATTTGTTATACACAAATCAATAATCTGATTCTGAAAGATTAGATTAGATTAAAACTGCTAATCGTGTTTTTTCAGATCTTTTCGGTTGTGACTTCAGGGTCACTTCTGGTCACATGATGCTACGTTACGGATGTGTTAACAGCTGATTGACTCATCCTGGCCTTCCTGTGGCTGTCGGAGCACTTTAACACTCAGCAGATGACTGTAATATTTAGCAACTCTGGACTTTCACGCTGGGTATTAACGCTCGGGCTGCGTGTTTGAGGCTTCATGCTGAAGCACAGCTGCACTCATGACACAAATCAATGGAGTTCACCTGCAACTGATCTAAAATCTCACATTTTCAACTGCTTACAAAAGGAAATAATCACATTTTTAGGATTTATTTTTAGTGACGGTGGCCATATTTAGATCTTAATATTGTGTCTGTTATTTAATTTGAGCCGATGCTTCTGTGTTTCCTAAAGACGTCATCAAGGAGCAGTCGAAGGAGCTCCGCGGCACTCAGAGACAGATCACCAGGGACCGAGTGGCGCTGGAGAAACAAGAGAAGCAAATGGTTGGAACACACACACACACACACACACCCTGCTCTGTTTAGGGTATATTTGTGCTGAATTTCTGCAAGTTGCATCAAAGTTTCACGATGACCCCCCAGGTCAAATTCACCTTGTACTATTTAGTGTAGTCGGCTAATGGGTCTAAATGAATACTTTAGATGAGAGGGATGTGGTATGTGTGTGTGGTAGCTATCCTCCAGACACACACACACACACACACACCTCTGTAAGATGAAAGAAGCCTCTGGTCTTCCCCTCTCAGTTGTATTAAGTAAATATCAGACGGGTCATAATGACCTCCCTGGGGAACCGCGGTTCATTAATGCGTTCCACTAATGAACCTTTGTGTGTTAAAGCGTTGTTGCTCGTTGTACGGAACCGGACTAAGGAGCGAAAATTACCTGGAATTTTGAGTTTCCATAATTAGGTGCATCCCTTATCGTGTGTGTGTGTGTGTGTGTGTGTGTGTGTGTGTGTGTGTGTGTGTGTGTGTGTGTGTGTGTGTGTGTGTGTGTGTGGAGAGTGCTTCTATTGTAGTGGGAAAGTGCACACACTCAGATTTCTATCTGAGTGTGTTTGACTGAGATGTTCTTTTATTATCTTATTCAGGGAGAAATGCAGAACTTATGGGTTTTCAGTGTATTCATGTTAGTATTCTGATTATTATTTATACTAGTATGCATCTTTTACTTGGTAGCTGTGTTGCTAGTTACGCTGTCAGAGGAAACTTTCTGGTAAAACTCTATAAAACTAGACGGTCTTGTTTTGTTCTGGATATTCAACATGACAACATTTTACACATCGAGCTAAAACTTTTCTGCTCTGCTGCAGCGATGCTTTCATGTACAGAAAATAAAATCAGAGTTTTGAATTTCCAACTGGTCAAGCACGGATGAATGCATGCGATGGGTTTCCTGCCAGTAGTGTGTGTGTGTGTGTGTGTGTGTGTGTGTGTGTGTGTGTGTGTGCGCTGAAGCCTCTGGCTCCTGCAGCATCAGACATTAATAATTGATTATTTCCTGTAGCGACTGCCGTCAGCAGCATATCTCACCATGACCTGCAGCCTGTCTCCTGGGACGTGCTCACACACGCGGGATCCCTGGAGGCGTGCTGCCTCGTGTTTGCTAATGCTAAACGTGGGATCTGGATGGCTGTTTACCGCGTCTGTATTTGCAAACACGACGGTCTCTCTGGGGCGTTTGTTGTTTGTGTTTTTAATCTGAGAAAAGAGATTACGTTCATTAAAGATGTTAATCTGCAGTTATTCATCACAGCGTCTCACGCGACAGGTAGCTGAACGGCTCACCGCTAACAGGATGCATTTGCACTGCTGAGGTCTAGCGTCTGGGCTCCGGCGTCGTCGGTGGCTCCGGTTCATCTCAGCGACACGCACCAAGTTCCTCTCTTCTGGTTTTTCCAGGAGCTGGAGATCAAGAAGATGGCTAAGAGTGGAAACCGGGAGGCTTGTAAAATTCTGGCTAAGCAGTTGGTGCAGCTGAGGAAGCAGAAGAACCGGACGTACGCCGTTAGCTCCAAAGTGACCTCCATGTCCACGCAGACCAAGGTCATGAACTCTCAGATGAAGATGGCCGGTGCGATGTCCACGACTGCG